TCCATCACTTTTACAGTAAAATTAGCAACTGACATGTCGAAGTACCTACCTGACCAAATCTCTCGGTCATCTGGGTAGCAGCCCACAGAGGGAGACATAGCGGAGTAAAATAGGGATCACAGAGGTTGCACAGACTAGGCGCATTGACACGGATCGGCAAGCTGCACGGCACCAAAACGGAGGCCTCTGCTAAAAGCAAGAAGCTCGGTGTGCAATAGCACCATGACGGATAACTAATTTGTCTATAAACGACGTATCGGAGTCCCCAATAATCTCTTACTTATGGCTCCGGTGTAGATTGGAGAACATTTGCATCAACGGCTACAATACGCAGGCTCTAATCTACGCATCGGATATCCCAAATTATCACGGCGTTCGGATTGGTGCAGACTGCTGAAGAAGCAGGCAACGTTCATGGAAGTAAGTTCGCGTGCAGTAGATTTTTGATACATATACTTACAGAAGCAGGGTTAGGCGGACAGAGATATCATATCACAAAGTTAGACAAAATATTTTACACAAATGACAACATTCTGCACTAATTGATTGGTGAATGGGGTTGGGAATTCATACTCGGATCCTGGCTGCGAGCGGGTCAACCGTCGTGACCGCCGTTACAACCATGGAAAATCTACACACGATACAAGACTGTCATTTTAATAGAAAAAACGAGAACAACCCGGTAACCCGTCCAACCTATTTTTCGGTAGAAATAATAAACTTGAACATAAAGTGAGGTCCACTGTGCACTCCCATTGCGCACTATTACAGAACAGATACATCGAGGTTAACTGCATTCTCACATCAATACATTTTTGGTGAAATTAATATTAGGCATGATAAGGAAGCCCTAATAAAACTATGGTAAATTCCACATGCCTCACTCTGAAATTGACCGAGACTTGCTCAAGCAGATACGTGCCGTCTTCATACATGGGGGCCTCGTGCTAGTCCAAACCAAAGGTTAGAGGCTCTATCGGACGTGGCGCATTGTCGGAGTCAGGGCTGCCCCTGCATTAATTCCCTTGCGTGTAGCTGTTCATACTTCAATGTGATTAGCTTCATGAACCTCGTTCTTGCTTCCATTCTGCTAATACCATATTTAAGTCTAACCGCATCATTTATCATTCTTCATTTTTGCCACTCTGGTGACGCGACTTGGGGCAACTGCATCCACAGCACTTTGGTGCCCGGATCATGATTTATCAACTGCACTAAACTGAACTGAAATAACCGGATAATCTTTAAGTATCGTAGGTTATTTACGAAATATAAATTTTAGATAGAACTTGGCTCACTTGACAGGAAAGCAAAATATTACCAAGTTGTTATTATTCCTAATTTGAAGGGTCTAGTTGAAAGTGGTGCTTTTTTCCTACAGTGCTTCTTTGGAAGCTAGTTCTCAGTCTACCGGCGGCGACACATGGAACTCTGCTTCCATTCCTCTTGCTCACTCTCTTTTTTCTGATTGTTACTTATGTGTTATGATAATCTGCCAAATGTTTATTGGGCAAGTGTTAAATACAATACTGCCGGCGTGCCCACCGCAACGGTGCTTTAACTTTACCTATGATACAAGTACGGGCACATCGGAAACTTATTTCTCCCGCGTACATCAGTCTGTCTACCTTAATGGGAACATAGCTACAATGAAATATCAGCAGTTGTGCACCACGTATACGTTCGTCCGCCAACGCGATGTCCATTTTTTATCACAGTAGACCCTGTATGTAACGGTAACTTCTGTGCTACGGCTAAACATCGGTCAGTACAGAGCCCACAGGCATCCAGTTTTTCGCGAAACATTCTGTCCTCAAACACTCGAAGAGTTTTCCAAAAATGACGACATTTCTAACGTTGACGTTTGCGGTCTCTTTTTCAAGGCGGTCTGACAGAACACTTGTTATAACGCGTGACAAATGTAAGAGAACGTTTCACATATCTGTTGTGTGTTAGCTCAAGTGGTGAGAAGCTAAAGCCCCTGATTGTTGGTAAATCAGCTACACCACGTGCGTTCAATTACCTAAATTCTGTAAACCTCCCAGTCATTTGGAAATCAAACTGATCTGCGTGAATGACATTTGCAATGTTTTCTGAGTGGATCAGAAGTATCGACAAAAGAATGATGGAGAGCAAACGCTTCTTTATCCTATCAGTGAACAACTTTCCTAGTCACATCTATGTAAACATCTCACAAATATTGCCCTGAACTTTTCTTCCAAACGTGACTTCATAAATGCTACCTATGGACCAAGGAATCAACAAAATACTCAAAATACCCTACCGAGCCCAGTTCATGCAATGGACCATGGTAAAATTGCATACTAATGATTTTTATGCGGAAGGATTTTCTACAGTTGCATTCACTTAATGCCTTGGAGGCTGTACTTTGGTTTAGTTCCGTTTGCTTCAAAGTTCGATCAGAAAGAATACGGAAGTGTTCCAGAAAAGCCGGGTTTCCTCAAGCTCTCGAGCGGGATGACGCCAATTTATTAGATATTGCATGTACATTGATAGCATTCGACGGAAAAGACGTTAAAGAGTTGGTTGAAATGGGTGATGACTTGGTAATTTGCACTGAACCAGAGCCAGTTGTTATTTTCTAAGAGGTGCTGCATTATGGAAATATAGGACCATGATGCTATAGAAGAAGAAGGACTAGGTGATGGTGATTTGAAAATCACAGCAATTTCAAAGAGAAGAAATCAGCCATCTTTTGATACAACTGAAATCATTTGCTTTGGAAAATTGCCTAAACATCCTGAGTAGTGTGGCTTGTGTTGAGCGTTTTTATCGAGTACCTTTGCGATAAAACAAAGAAAGTACAAAACTTGTCTTTCTCTTCAATAAATGATTTAACATGCGAAATGTGGAGTACGTTTTGCTTTATTGTGGCACCGTATGGTTGAGTTGCGTTTACAGTTACGTGAAATCTCGTCTAATGTATACGAAACGGGTTTATGTGGAAATAAATTTCACACTATAGTACTCACTATTGGAAAGTAGGTAACATTAAGTTTTGGCATAGAACTTCCGTAAGTTAACCACCACCCTACGTTGCCCACTTTGATCCAGTCCCTTTAGTGATCCACATACGGAGGTTTTGCCGTATATATATATATATATATATATATATATATATATATATATATGGGTGCACGGAACCACGCTTGGAGTCTAGCACGGTCACATGAACCGTGAACCCCATTCCCTCCAGCAGCAACCAACTGTCTCTTGGACCCAGTATGGACAACGTGCAGGTCAAACGCAGCCACGCCAGGGATATCAAGCAACAGCCAGTCACATGAAATGAAATGTGGAATAAAATAGATCGAATACACCGCACGAATATGCCGCTAAATTAGCATATGAAATAAATGGATTATCAAAATAGCCGGGAGAGATTCAGGATGGCATAAAGTGGGGTCAAGACACATACGTAAGAAGGAGAAAAATAGGCGAAGTTAACCACCTTTAGTTTAAACGAAATGTGCAATTTAAAACATTATTCATGTACACATAAAGATGAGGTAACAAAGTAACACTAAGGTAGCAAACCAACCACCTTAAATAAAAAAACTCAGCACGCAAGCGCGCGGTTAGTAAACCGAATGCAGCGTGTCTACTAACGCTGCGCCGGTTCTGCTTACCTTTTCAGCAGCACCTGTCCTCACGTGGCAAGTTTACCACAATTTGCATGAGAGACTTGTGCAAGTTAAGAGAAGATTATCAGGTAAGCAGAACAAACCAAATAATGTGGTTTGAATTTTATCCACATTACAAAGATCTAGTTTAAGTGTAAGTTGGTTTAGCCCAACTGGGGTGAAGAAGCATCATGAATGCAACATCAACCTCAGCATGTATATGCGTCCCATGCTGAGGCCGATGTTGCATTCTTGATGCTTCACCCCAGTTGGGCTAAACCAACTTACACTTAAAGTAGATCTTTTTAAGCTGGCTAAATTTCATTCCACTTTATTTGGCTTGTTCTGCCTAGCTGAATAATCTTCTATTAACTGGCCACGTTGCTTACACTAATTGCGCTTATCTTTATTATGTTTGTAGTATTTTTTGGGTAACTTGTTGACATTTTGTACTTATCGCGGATATGTTGATAGCTACCTTAATTCATGTGCTAATTTATCGAAGAGTTATGTCGGTGTAGCCGTATTCTTTAACAGATATATTTTATTTGATAATATCATTTCAAGTGATTGTCTGTTGCTTGATATGCCCAGTGTGGCTGCGCTTGATGTGCATGTTGACAAGGTGCCTACCTGTCTATTACCCACTACCTCGTCCATACTGGCTCCAAGAGACAGTTGGTCGTTGTTGGAGGGGACGGGGTGCACGGTCCTTGTGGCCATATTAGGCTCGAATAGTGGTTCCATGCACTCAGTGTGGAGTGGGACTATGGTCCAGCAATCGCCTTGTGTGCGCTTGATTCCCCAAATACAGTGTGCTCGTGTTTGCCTGAGAAGGAGTGTGGGCCGGCTCCGTTGATCAAACATTGCTCCCATCCACATGTTTCCCAGTCTTATTCCTTCGAGTTTACACTTGATATGGGGTGTGTGGTTGGAGCTGTGGGTGGTGCAGCGCAAGCCAGCCATGGTCCCTCTGTAGGCGCAGGTGTCCTGTGACTGGCAACAGTGACAGGTAAATCCGAAACCGGATGCCGCCAACCGTAAATTTGCTTACCATGATGATCGGTTTGGTACGGAAACATTGCAACGTGATGATACAATACACATTCTGAAAATGTGATGTTTCAATAGACTTTATTAGCAAAGATTATAAAACGACGGAATAACAATAGTGGACATTTTGGTGGATGAGACAGAATGGAACTTTATAACTCACGCTAACATGCCAAACGATACATTTGACTCGGGTGATGTATATGCTAACCAATACGGGGTCTGGTTATGTATGAGGGCGAAGACATTCGCATGTAAGAGCAGATAGACATTGTATCTGGCGGGGTCAAAACAAACGCTTACTTAGAATTCTTGGCCAAAGTTTTTGGAAGGCATTTTCTTCCACAGCTCGATCCATTAGGCGTAAGACCGATTCCGATGAGGAGTGCTATACAATCAGATTATGCATGAATGGTACTCACGGATATAGCTGTAACAATCTTTCTTCTGATGTGCGTTGAAGTTAAGTTAATTTGGCGATCTCCGGCAATCTAATGTCACTATAGTGAGCTTAGACCTACTTTGACATGTTTCTGAGTGCTTATAAGGAACAACAATTCCTCACTTGTATTTTCGGAATCACAGGCGAAAAACGAATCTTTCACTCGTTCAACGAAAGCACCGAAAACTTTTCTAATCGACTTGGGTGAGAGCTGACGTAAGGAGTCAGAAGATCGATTTACATCGGAAACCATTAGACAGCATACAGAGAGCACTTGTGACCTCCAACCATGCAGCTCAAAAAGAGGGAATACGAACTGAGTAATACGAACAAGTGAGCCGATGTCGAGCTGAAAGTGATTTGGGCAACGTGGTTCATACCTCACGAATCCGACCACTTTCACATAGAAGCCGGGGGGAAAGAAGATATGCGTGTTTCAGCGATGCCTCCTCCTAAAAAAGTTGAACTGAACAAGGGCAACTTACGGTTTTACATGACGCAGATGTGGTATAAATGTGTTTCTGAAGAATTTCTAGGAGCTGTAGAGTCGTGGTCGACTCCGGAAAATATTCCAGTAAGCGGACAAGTGTTTTATAGTAACCGTCACGTGCAAAGGGAGAAAACGATTTTAACCCCTTTACCAAACGCTCTCTTGTGTAATCCAAATATTCGGGTTCACACTTCAAGCGTAAAATGGAACAAGATACTCACAAGTTTTTGCTTGTATTTGATTCTGGACAAGAGGGTATCACAGGCTTTACTGCTCTTTATTTTGTCCTCGCCAGATATGGCCCAGAAAAGATCCAAGAAACTGCGATCCACTACTGTACTCATGCCTGGAAAAGTAGTTAGAAAAATAGTCTGTAGAAAACGAACATAGTTGACTGAATACAGTGAGTTTGCAATAACAAAAAGAACATAAAAGAAATAAGTAGGGAGCTTAAGGTTTCGGAAATTAGTGTCACTAAGCCGAACTGGCAAAGAAGAAGGTACAGGGAAAAAAGTTAAAACACAAAAATTTCCTTAGAATCCATTGAGAAATCACGGTTAGAAAGGTCTGAAAACGAACGGTTGGTAAATATGCACCAACAAAGGCATCACGAGATTGAGTAAATGATCTGCAATCGCAGTACGCCGGTACAGTGTACCGACGCGTTGCTGCTACGCGACCACCATTAGTTGCGCGTGGGCTGAATATACCGCGACGTCGACCGCACCCACGTGGATCCAAACTGGTCACCAACGGATTACAATACAGCCTCGTAATCTATGTGGCCACCGCCCCCGTTATTCTTAAAGCGCGGTCAGGAGAGGTAACAATTCGATAGCTACACGTTCAGTCGGATGTATATGGACCATGATCGCCTCGGGCCGACTCTGACGATTGTGGGAACACTAAGTGCTCGTCTGTTTGCATCTAACTGTTAAAGCAACAAACATATTAGTTACCCACCGTTTCGCCGAACTGGTGTGCTATTTTTGCATGCTAGCACATTTTGCCCACCACTGACCATTAAGGTTAGTCTGGATCAGTCACGCTTCGGTAGACAAATCATAGTTGTTTAGTTGACCTGAGCCGAACCGGTTAGCTACCGCTCACCTACAGGTAGTTCCTGACCAATAAAACGCCAACCTCCAGATACACAATTGAGTTCGAGCGTGGTTATAAGTGTAACATGTGGCACGATTGTGAAACAAATATAATGTTGTTATGACTACAGTGGATTATACCTACACAAGTTAAAACGGAAAGAACCATTCGACACTTTGAGTCACACTGCTGAATGAAAGGTCAGAGGCGGATGATCTCGAACACAAATTCACTAAATAAGTCAGCGATCAAGGAGTAGCAACCAACCTTACGGTAGTGCCCTTTCTATGCTTTCGTCTTTTTTGATCCTAATTCTCTGGAATTAGCCAGGAAAACAGCATCTTTGACATAGTAAATTGCACAGATGTGCCAACTTGGCCAGTCGAAAGCTAACTCTCCACATTGGGGCCTTCAAGGTCATGTCAAACAACAGGTTATGAGAGCTCCCACTATGCTCACTCTTCGAGCTGTTACGTGCCGTATCACTCGCACAAAGCTGCATCCTAATGCACTAGTGGCTGCCGAACTAGGATTCCGGCATAGATATTTCATGATTCGGTCATCTGGAATCAATGGCTAGTGACATTCAAGAAGCCAAAGTCCTAAAGGTTAAATATGCATTGCTCAAGCGAATTCAAGTGAACAGGAGTATGCGTGCGGTCGGACTAATGAGGTCAAGTGTAGTCGATGAGCAGCGACTAGATGCAAGGTATCCCTTAATCAATGCGGTACATTCTCCCAACAGATGCAATCCGGAAAACACCTGTATCGGTTATTGGAATACTTAAGAACAAGCGTATTGATTACAACTTTTATAAACGCGAAGAGCAGTTATCTATCTGAGTCTGAGCATCGCATCGGTGTGACGCTATTCGTACCGCCAATGACAATCACTTGTCTCAGCTATGCGTTCACCATAACCTGCATATCGGCAGCACATAGTTACAACACAAGTGTTCACATAGGGTCACACACAGTCTATCGGAATTTGATCGCCATCAGGGTACGTCAAACTAGCGTAGTCCGTTGAGCAGAAGAATTGAGCTCCGTTGCAAACATACTAGCTGAGTATGGGTAGGGTACTCATAGTTCCGGCTTCTACGAAGTGAACAACTTTAAGGGTAGCTCAACACCCCTACGAGGAATAATATCAATCTGAATCAACGTCAGCTAACAATGATGAACCAAGCACCGATTGAAAACGGCTTTACTGAGCTAGGAGAAGGATATCCGAAGTTGTTTGTCTGGCTTGAGACATCCGAACAAGGATTGGATTTCCTAGGCCTACAAAAGTCTCACGGGGACAAGGAAGTTAATGCCGTTAAAAGATTCGTTTTGGAAACAGCACAAGACAAGTGAAATAGTAAAACGAGAAATATTTGTGGCGGTCGCAAAAGCTGTCTTAACTAACTTGAAGTGAATAATCCGGTAAGTGGAGCGACAAACCGGAAAAGAGAAACCGATGGAGCCTAGGTTACACTGGTCTGAATATAGGGTCGAACGCCTAGAGGGGCATATCAGCTGACCTGCTGATCATTATCAGCTGCGCTAAAGTGCTCATGGTTGCTGACAACAAGGATAGTGGTAGCACCAATAGGTTGATTTAGACGCCCAACGCAAGGATACTTAGTGTAAAGGGAGAGTGCGCCCAGATTGGTGTTTATACGTTGTTATTCCAATTTTTTACTCAGGCATAACATATATGAAAACTATTGGGGCATTTATTTTATAACGAGTACCTATAAACTAGTCACACGCAGATTTGGCGAGTAGCCTGTAGCGGGAGCCCGGAGAGCGATACGAAAAGGCAGATCGGGTTGAAGGGAAACTTTTATTGGTACAGTAAAAGATTTCCTGTTACCTAGCTATAAAAAAGCGACACCGTTGACGCTCTAGCTAGGGGAACGGAGGATGCACAGCACACAGGGCAGTCGCGCGTTACAACCGAAACGAGCGCCAAACAAAAATGGTGATGAGCAAGTCAAGCATTCGAACTCAAAAAGGAGTTCAACAAATCATACCCATCGCCTAGGTGTACAATGAAATAATTTTAGTTAGAATATTACACAGACAAACCGGAGAATCTCCAGACTGCTACATAGCCCTCTCCAAGAAGAGACTGTGTAAGCAGTCCTTCGATCTATGTGAGGACTGTCCGTCGCGGGTCAGGCTTCTGCGAGACCAGGTTGTGAAACCTGATGCAGCTGCTGGGGGAGAACCATGCAATCGGACCCTAGCGGGCTCCTACCCGTGTCCTCCCTACGGTGTCGAAACGGTAAAAACTGTGGGGAATGACAGTTCACAAAGTTCACGTAAGTGGCTGAGAAGGACGTTCATTCCACTTCCAGCTGACGTGCAGGGATCCGGCGAAAAGTGAGACCGAGGTGGAACCAACCGACGGTGTGTATAGAAAGTAAACTGAAAAAGCAGCGCAAATGCATAGCAATACACAAACGAGTGCAAAGCGAAAAAACGTGCTAGCTGTTTTTGGGTTTTCAAAAGGTTTTGCTCTTTTTTGGTAGTTTCAAAATGTTTTGGTCCAATTTTTGTGGATTTTGGAAAACGTTTGTGAGCAGAAAAACATGCAAGGAGTGCTCTATGGGAAGTAGCAAACGTTCATGAAATCCGAAAAGCGTACTGGGAGGTTCACTTCCCTAGCACTTCGATTGATAGTGGGTCGTGAACGGGTGACGTCGGTTCCGCTGGAGCAGAGTGACTGGTCTGAGATTGCGGTACTGGGTGTGATGGTGCTTGTTGCACCGAAGAGTCAGATTTATATAAAAATGCTGGCTTGAGTCGGTCGACGTTGACCGTCTCAATCTTGCCATTGTAGTCAATGGTAAGCATCTTGTCGCTGATCTGATGAATGCGTGAAAGCGCATCCGCGACGGAAATGAGAACACCTGAGACAAGTCATACGTCTGTCGTAAACTAAGAAACGTAGTCTAGGTGTCTAGTTTCCCGCGGAGAATACTTGTCTGTCGCGTCATTGATTGCGTAGATCAATGGCTTGTGATCAGTGAAGACTGTAAAATAACGACCGTTGAGATAGTGACGGAAATATCTGATACCTAGGTAGATAGCTAACAGTTCTCTACCGAATGTGCTGTAACGCGGTTCGGCAGGTTGTAAACATTTCGAGCAAAAAACTTAGAGGTATCCATCGATGGACGATGAATTGTTGAAGAACTGCACCGACGGCAGTGTCGGATGCGTCATTTGTCAGGGGGAGTGGTGCAGATGTGTCTGGGTAAGCGAGAAGCGCTACGTTGGAGATGGCGTCTTTGAGTTTCTCAAAAGGCAGTCTAGCGTCGTCTGGAAAATGAAAAGAGCGTTGTTTACCAAGGAGCAAGTCAGTCATTGATTGAACAATGCTCGCGTAGTTAGGAATAAAGCGTCTATAATAGATGACCTGGTCAACGAATCGGCGTAACGGTTTGAAGGAACTAGGAGCAGGATAGTCCTTCAGTGCCTGAATTTTGTCCGGCAGAGCTTCAATACCAGAGGCGGATATTCAGTGGCCAAGAAAGTCGATGGAGCTTTGGCCAAGCTCGCATTTATCGGGGTTGACGGTAACACCATATTGCGTCAAACGTTGGAGGAGAGCGTCGAGGTGATGGAGATGTTCATCGTCAGAAGAGTTGGCGATGAGAACGTCATCTAGATAAGGATAAACATCTTCGAGTCCTCGCATTACCGCATGAATGAAACGCTGAAATGTTTGAGCAGCGTTGCTGAGGCCGAAAGGCATTCGGAGGTACTCGAATAGGCCGAATGGCGTGATGACTGCTGTTTTAGCAATGTCGTCCGGCGCCACAGTTATCTGATGGTCGGCGCGAACTAGATGGACTTTGTTAAAGATAGACCAACCAGTCAGAGCTGAGGTTAAGTCGTGCATGTGCGGAATGGGGTATTTATCCGGGACAGTAACTTTGTTAAGTATCCTGTGGTCCCCACAGGTACGCAAATCACCGGATCTCTTCAGCACCATGTGTAATGGTGATGACCATGGAGTTTTGGAAGGGCAGATTATCCTCAGTTCAAAGATTTGCTCGAATCCCGCCTTAGCAGATTTGAGCTTGTCTGGGGCCAGTCTGCGAGGGTGGGCTGAAACAGCTGGACCCTTAGTGCAAATGTGATGCATGACGCTTGACGTCACAGGAGGCAAGTCGTTCGGAACGCGAACGAGTTTAGGACGCTTGTTGAAGGTTCTATAAAAGGCTGTGAAGCTTTGGGACACGAATG